AATCAAAGTCCAAGGTCAGGAGACTAACAGGGGCACCACGGATTCAGCAAGGCTACCTGTCAGTCATAAGCTAGATCAGAAAACTCCGCAAGGGCTGAGCTGTGGCCCAGGGGTAGAGTGCTTGCCCAGCACTTGGGGGCCTTGGGCTCAATACCCAGCACTGAAAACACACACAAGGACTGGGGCTGGGGCTCAGCAGTAGAGCACTCGTCTAGCATGTGCGCGCCCTGGGTTCGATCCTCAGCACCACGTAAAAATAAAAAAAGGTGTCCAGCTACAACTAAAAAATTAAAACACACACACACACACACACACACAAAGGGGATGGGGAGACATAATCTAATAGGTGCACATATCTCAGTGCACACGCTGCCTGAGAGCACAACTCCAATCCTGAACTTGGATTCAGGGGTCTCTGAATGGCAGCGTTCCAAGCATCAGACACAAAGAAAAGCACGGAGTACCTAGGCTGAAAACTATTCCTGAAAATGACTTCCACACGATGACCAAAACACAAGGACAACGAGGCACACAAAGAAATGAGCTGCCACCATCAGAGGTCAGCCAAGGGACAGCAGGAGTGAGCCTCCTAGCCCAGGCCCTCCTCCTGAGAAGAGCAGACGAGCCCTGGCCAGCCTGGACATACCTTCCCACTGCCTCCGGTGCTCTTCTTTGGCCTCCTTCTCTGGCTTCTCAGCCTCCTCCTTCACTGCCCGAAGCAACTCCACCTGGTCTTCCAGAGACTTCTTTCCAGCCTGTAGCTCAATGAGCTTTTTCTGGGAGGCAGAAGGCAAAAAGGCCAGCTCTCCTTCAGGTCTGCCCGCTTCTTAAAGCAACCTCCCTGCCTCTAATCCACTAGAGAAGGCCGTGGCCTCAGGGCTGGGAAGGACAATGCCAGTGTGCCTTTAAGGGACATCCAGAATCCACCTGCTTCTCCCCACCCCCATATCTCCTACTTCCTGGTTTCCTGGAAAAAGAGACCTTTCAGACACCAGGGTCTCCCCCTGCCTCTGGAGAGGGGCCCAAACACCCTGATGGAGCCCACAAGGCCCTGCCTGCTCTCCAGCCCTCTCTGCCCTGCCCTCATCTTAAAACTCACAGCTCCAGCCCCCTGACAGCACTCAGACCCCCACACGTGCTGTTCCTTTACCCTGGAACATTCTCCATGGCTAAGTCCAAATTATCCTAGGGCTTTTGGTTTGGATGGAGACCTCTTCTCTAGCGGGGAGAGCATGGCAAGACCCACCTCTATGCTGCAAAGCTCCCAAACTTCCCTTCACTGTCTGTCTCTCCCCTGGGCGGTCCAGGTCTGGCCCTAGCTTCCTGTCCAGTGCCTGACACGCCTTGTACTCCTACGTCTTAAGAAGCAACAAGGGCTGAGGAGTTGTAGAGCGCTTGCCTGGAATGTGTGAGGTCCTGTGCTCCATCCCCAGCACCACACACATACATGAAAAAGATGGAGACACTGGGGGACAGGCCAGGAAAGCACCAATATCCCCACCTGGAGGCAGGCAGAATCCTTACCTCCCTGCCCAACTCTGCCCCAGCTACAGCTCATCAAGGTCACCCATCAATAGTGCTTCAGGGTTGGCAGGTGCTGCTGACCCATTTCACCTTGTTTGGCCCAGCCCCCAAACTGGGAAGTCCCCGATCATCAACTCATTCTATAGACAATGGCACCACAGACCAAGGATGCAGAAAGGAGGCCTCCTGTCCCTAAGAGACAGCATAGACCCTTGAAGCTCACCTCAGTCCAGTGTCTGGCCTTGGCTAACCCCTGAGCTGACTACCTCACTTTGCCAAAGACTAAATGCTTAGGGCTGTTCACCTGAGCAGAGCAAGGGGCAGACAGGTGGCAACTTGCCCCAGGACCCTGTTTAGGGGCAGGTACAAACCCCACGAGCACTGCCAGCCCACCCCTCTAGGCCTCAAGGCCCAGAATGTCCCAAGTCAGCCTCCAAGGGTGCCTTACCTGCTTCTCCTCCCGGGCCTTCTTCCAATCCTCAATAAGGATCTTCTTCAGGCGGAACCCTTCACGGGTGACCTCTGCCATCTGCTGCAGGGACTCTCTCTCCTTGCGGCCCTTCTCTCTGGGGTAGAGGGGACACATAGGCACCACCAGGGAGCACACAGAGCATACCCCATTGCCCTCTTCCAGAAGGGCCGAATGTAACTGCCAACCCCACACACTCACACGCCAGCAAATGCTCCTCCACCCCAGGCTCCCAACTTTGGTGCCCCTCATCCCTTGTCCTTGAGAGGAGGGACAGTAAGCAATCTTGGGGTCAAGGGGAGGTACTAGGGAGTGTTGAAGACTGGGGGCTTGGAGGTGATTCCCAAGAGACAAAGGAAAGAAAGGACAGAAATCACAGACTCCTAGACTGAAAGGGAACTGACAGAAATTGAACTTTGCTCAAGCCACTCTCCACTTAGAAGACCTGAAGTCAGGAGAACTTATGTAAGTGTGGGAGTCTTAGCTTCTTTGCAAAACTAACCCAGCACAATGAAAAATAAATAAATAAACATAAAAACAAAAAAATACCTGACCCAGCCTTTCCACCCACCCACCAATGACAAGAGTTGAGAGTGGCTGTTCTGGTAGATGCCACAGTCTTCCCTACTCCCCGCTGCCTCATAATTGACCCAGTTCTGTGCTCACATCACCCACGTTTAAATTTCAGGCCCCACGCTAGCATGTGGCTATTAAAAACATGGAGCAGGAGTTCCAGTGGAGCTGTCAAGTTCCAGCTCTGCTACCTGCTAACAGTGACCCTGGAGAAGTCCTTTCCCTTCCTACACTTGAGTCTCCTCATCTGTTGGATAAGGAAACAATCACACCTGTGTTGGGGCTACAGGGAGAGCCAGGGATGGAGGGTTCAGAAAACATCTGCCTGGCACAGAGTGAGCAAAAGAGGAGGGAGCCAGCCCAAGCAAGGGGTGTGGCCCAGCAAGGTGGTGAGGGGTGACAAAGGGGAGGGTACTGTCATCACATACTTGCAGGTGTTTTCACAGATGATGCCACTGTTGTACTCATCTGTCCCGTCACAGCAGTCTGAAGTAGAGGTGGGGGCCAAGATCAAGAGCTGGCCGTGCCTCCACCCGCCCTGGCCACCACCGCCTCCTTCCCCATGCCAGGGCCTCTGCACTCACCACATATTGCATCGTTGACCCGGTTCGAGGGGATGTACAGGGCCTTGTAGCCAGTGTTGGTGCAGTGGAAGCTGCCATTCGGACAGGCAGCTGTGCCTGTGGAGAAGGCAGAGAGGGCCTGCTGAGTTCACCCAGCCAGGTGCCTAACTGTCATCCCGCCCACAGCCCTGGACCTCCGGGACACAGAAAGCACCGGAAAGGTGGGAACAACCAAGGGAAGGCCAGAGCTGCACACTCGAGGCCTAAAACAACACTCTCCAGTGCTCCCTGCCGCCTCTCTCTTCTGAGGCCCTTCAAAACCTGGCCCTGCCAGCTCCCCTTCTGTCTTCGCCCCATCCCCAGCCAGACTGTCCCTGAGACCCATCTCTGGGGGGTTGTAGAATGTAGGCTCTCCATCTGCAGCTCCTTCAGGATTCTCCTGAACACTCACTTCCCCTGAGAAGCCTTTCCTGATCTCCAGAATGTCCTGGAAGGGCAGGGTTCTCTGGGCTTCCACAGCACCATCTACTTCCCTGGTCCAAACAGCAGGACCTGATTTCTGTTTTCTTTTTTTTGGGGGGCGGGATGTAGTGCTGGAGATGGAACTCAGGACAGATCTCTAGTATGGTAAACACACTACCACTGAACAACGCCCCCAGCCCAACATCGGCCAGGTTTCCGTGCCTGCTTCCTGGAAGCCATGGGAAGGCAGGACTGGGTTTCTCTCCATCATCTTATGGGGCCTTGGCACTCAGCAGTGCTCACTAAATGGGTGAAAGGGAGGTGAAAGGGAGGTGGGGGGATGTAGGGAGCTCACCAGGCTCGTCTGAGCCATCCTTGCAGTCGCAGTAATCATCGTTGACCTGATCAAAAGGAATGGTGGCCGAGCCGTCCAGGCAGGTGAAAGGTTTGGACTCATCATAGAAGTGATGGTCTAGAGGACAGAAGGAGAGAAACCTTCTCAACAGAAAACCACCTCTGCCACGCCCACCCCCTGGCTGAGCCTGCGTCACAGGTAAAGTGAGGTAAAATGTTGCAAAGGCCCACCCCAGGAGCCACGGGTAGGCTCCTCCCACGCCCGACCCCCACCTCCAGCAAACTCACTGGTAAGGGCGACGCCCCGGGGCCTCTTGACCTCCACTGCCCGGCAGAGGGGCAGCAGAAGCAGCAGCAGCAACATCCCGCAGGGGCTGTAAGGCCGGAAGCTGGTTCTGCGGGAGGAAGGAGGCTGCGGGGAGATGTACCGCGTCCCCACGCTGCGGCAAGAATGGGACAACTGGTCAGCAGGAGAGGGCTACTTCCAGCCCATTGGATTCCTCCACCGCCTCCGGGCAATACGAGCTCCGATTTGGGAGCAGGGAGCAGACGAGTCCCCAGTCCTGGCCAGTCGAAGAGTCTCACTTTGCTCAAATCAGGGGCGGGCAACTGAAAACCTCCGCTCCCTGTGCCGAGGCCAAGGGGGCAATCCGATTCCCGCCAATAGGCCCAAAGGGCTAACAGTCTCCCCCACCCACTGCGCAAACACCCCTTAGTTGCCCCTTGTACGAAATTAGACTGCCTTCCCACCCGCTAGTTCATCACCTACATGAGGCCGAGGCAAAGGTCAGTAACACCCGCACCCCCCTTGCCCAGCGGCCAGGGATCCTGCTGTAAAAAGAAAGCGGAAAAGTCTAGGAAGCATCACTTCCGGTCCCACCATGCTCCTGGGAGAACGACAGCTCAGGGAAGCCATGTTGGGTGTGGCTAACATGCGGGTGCCGGAACTGAGGCGGCCATCTTGGGCAGGACTGTGAAGTCTTAAGAGACGATAGATCAGAAGCATCGCGCTTAATGGCGGCGCAGAGTGCCTCCATCTTGGGAGTGGCGGCTCCTGCAACCGGAACAGAAAGTTCCTGAAAAATGCCGGTGAACCCCCAGCGGGAGAAGAAAAAGGAAAAAAAAAAAAAATGCGATGAACACGTGATTGCATCGCGGCTAGGCCTCGTCCCCTTCGGAGACCGTCCTTCTGCGCGTCATCAGCCAATGAGAGTCGTAGGGTGGAACGCAGGCGATCTCCATGGGAACTTAGGAGGGAGGAGGGGGAGGAGGTTACCTAGCAACCGCGAGATGCTGAGAGGGCCAGCCAAGCCGTCGGAAAGTGCATTCCAGGCGCCCGAGGAACCAGAGCTGACGGATCCCGAACCGGAGCAGCGGACTCCTATTGCTCCTCTAGCTCCTAGCAGTCCTTGGCTCCAACCCAGTCATGACGTCTCCTCTGTGCAGGGCGGCCTCTCTCAACGCCCTGACTGCTCAGGACCAGGTCTCTACACCCTCTTCCAAAGCCAAGAGCAGTAAGGCTCAGGCCAAGTATGGCCATCCCCGAGGCAAGCACGCTACGCGAGCACAGGCCTGGCCCGCCCGCAGTTCCAAGGCAGAATCCCTCCGCGGGGCGGTGAAGACTTCTGTGCACGCACAGGTGGTTGAGTTGCAAAGGAAGATTCAACTATTAGGTAAGATGGCTCCAGAGGACCCAGAAGGATCGAGGGTCAACAGTGACCACCCAGTTTGACTAGGCATGGTGTGACAAAGGAGTTTCACTAGTATGAATCTAGGAGAACAAGTTTCTGGAGGCAAAAACTCACGCTTCTGTCGGGCTTGGTGGAGCAAGTTTCCAATCCCAGCGACTTGGGAGGCTAAGGCAGGAGGATCCCAAGTCTGAGGCCAGCCTCAGAAACTTTACGAGGCCCTGTCTCAAAATAAAAAGTAGAAAGGACTGGAGCTGGAGCTTAGTGATAAAGCGCCCTTGGATTCAATTTCCAGTACCCAAAACAAAAACAAAACGAAAAGAAACACTCATACTCATTCATGGTTTTCCTCATCTCTCTTTTCAAACTTCTGAGCTCAGAACTGACTGGGGTAGGGGCTGGGTAGGTAGCTCCGTGGTAATAGTGCTTGCCTAGCATGTGTGATCCCTGAGTTCAATCCTCGGCACTGCCAGAAACAATGAGAGAGTGAACTGACTGGATTGTATTTCATATTTACTGTAATTTCGGTTCTTCCATATCATACATGTAGTAGTTAAAAAACAAACAAACAAAACAGATTCTAGAGCCAGAATTTTTGAGATCAAACCTGACTCTGCATAATAGTTGTTTGACCTCAGGCCATTTAACATGAACCTACTTGCTGTTTTTCCATCTGTAAAATGGAAATAGTAACAGTGCAAGGTGGCTACTTGGAATGTATAAAGTGATTAGAAAGGTGCCTGGTATATGATAAAGTATTATAAAGTGAGAACTAATAGTTCTCATGGATAGGGCAATCTTGTCCTTCCCGTGGCCATTTGACAATGTCTGGAGACATTTTTGGTTGTTACACTGCTGGAGAGCAGCTGCTCTTGGCATCTATTGTGCCAAAGCCAGGATACAGTTTAACATCCTACAAGGCACACAGCAGCTTCCCACAGCAAATTATTCAGCCAAAACATCAATTGAGCAGATATTTGGGAAATCCTTGTGTGTAAATCATTATTGGTTTTACTAAGAATATTTCTGGGGGGGCGGTAGCCCACACCTATAACCTAGGTACTTGGGAGGCTGAGGCAGGAAGATGAAAAGTTTGAGGCCATGGGCTGGGGATGTGGCTCAAGCGGTAGCGTGCTCGCCTGGCATGCATGCGGCCTGGGTTCGATCCTCAGTACCACATACCAACAAAGATGTTGTGTCCGCCGAGAACTAAAAAATAAATATTAAAAAATTCTCTCTCTCTCTCTCTCTCCTCTCTCTCTCTCTCTTTAAAAAAAAAAAAAAAGTTTGAGGCCAGCCTGGGAAATTTAGCAAGACCTTGTCTCAAAATTTATTTAAAAGTGCTGGGATGTAGCTCAGTAGTAGAGCACTCCTAGGTTCAGTCCCTAGTTCTGGAAAAGAAAAAAAAAGAGAGAGGAGAAGGAGATAATCTTGAATAGCTGTTGAAGGTGTGGATGCAGGAGCAAGATTGCTTGTGATGTTGAGCAATTTAAACCAATCTGAGCCTCGGTTTTCTCATCTGTGAAATGGGTATGATGTGTACTTACTGGCATGTGATATTGAGTACCTGGAAAGACCTGAGTCCAGCACCCAACACATAAATAAGGGCTGAAAACAAACTACTTTAACATGTATTTTGAGGGGATGGTAAGACATTTCAAGGCATGTGCACAATGTGTACCCATCAAGGTAATTGGCATATTCACAGACATTTGTCATTTCTTTGGAGAACACCCAAAATCCTCTGTACCATTTTGATATGTACAATTGACTTGCTGTCAGCCATAGTTATCCTACACTACAAGAAAATGTTGGAAGTTATTTCCCTGCGCCGGTTAACCATCTTCTCTCCATCTTCAAGTATCATTGTAATATTAAGTTGAAGATTGATTGCAAGAAGATCTTCCCTCTGGGAAGTCCCATCCGCCTACCTAATGACACTGAGCTTGTGTCTGCCCACCTCACCTGCCCCCAGAGAGTGACCGGAAAGCCTTTTATGAGAGCTCCCAGTGGAACATCAAGAAGAACCAGGACACCATCAGCCAGCTCCGAGAGGAGACCAAGATTCTCCAGCTGCAACTGACGGACCTGCTTCAGGTGAGGGTGAAGAGGTGGATGGCTGGGTGCTGGGGGCATGCAGGTGGCCTGAGTGAGGGGTGACGGGCTCCTCTCCTTGCAGGGAGATGAGAAAGTGGTCCAGGCAGTAATTCAAGAATGGAAATCAGAGAAGCCATACCTGAAGAACAGGACAGGCCAGGTTTGCCTCACCCACTGACCAGCTCCCTTGACTCCATCCTGGGTACCCTTCTCACTGGACTTCCTGCTGCCACTTTCCACCTCTCCAGACCTTTCCCTACACGGGCTGCCAATCATTTACTCCTCGGAGAAATCTCTATTACGCACTGGCTCTGTGTTTGACATGGTGTTAGGTGTCAGGGACCATGCAGTGACAAAACAGATCAAGTCTCCCTTCCAAGAAGCTCATATTCTTGTAGAGAAGCTGACCAACAAGACCCAAAACGAAACAAAACCTCCTCCAAAATTTGGGAATGGTGGTACAGCCTATAGTCCCAGCCATGTGGGAGGCTGGGTGGAAGGATCTCTTGAGCCTAGGAGTTTGAGGCCAACCTGAGAAATCTAGGGACCTCATCACTTAGGGGGGGAAAAACAGAACAACAGAGGTAAGAACAAAGGAATTCCAGCAACCATAAGAGAAATAAATAAATCAGTATCATTTACTAGAGAAGGGCAAATACTGGTACTTCAGATTGGGAGTGAAGTCAGCAAAGACCTCTTTCCAAACGAGCTGGGAATGGAACATTAGAAAAAATATGGGAAAAGAACTCCTGGCAGAGGGAACAACAAGTGCAAAGTCCCTGAGGTAAGAAGAAGCATCGAGTGCGGAGACCAGGTGAAGACCAGGATAGCTGGGGAAGAGTGAGGCAAGGCAGGGAGACCCATCCTGGCCTCAACCATGTCATGGTTCTTTGAAGTGGAAAATAGACTTCAACAGACAGGAGGGGAGGCAAGAGAGAAGTCATCCAGGTGAAAGATGCTTTGGCCTGCACTACTACCAAAGTGGTAGAGGTTGAAGGAAAGAGATACCTCTGGGGAAACCTGACAGAGAAAGAGAGAATTCGCTAACAAATGAGATATATGTGGGAGAAAAATCTTTGATGGCATCAAAGTTTGGGAATTTTTTTTTTTTTTGTCTGTGTTTGGTGCTGGATACTGAACCCAGTTAAGCAGACATTTTATGACTGAGCTACCCCCCAGCAAGATTTGGGGTTTGAGTATGAATGGAGCTGCCATGAGCCCAGATGGGAAAAATGGCAGAAGGACTTGTTGGTGAGACAATCAGTGCTTTTGGAAGGGATGATTTTGAGAGTCTGCATGTGGGATAAGGGGAGGCTTAGTTTAGGTGTGTTCAGTGTAGAGATGGCCTCTAAGCCCCTGAGACTGTGTAAGATCACCAGTGGGGAGGGTATGAACCAGGAGGAGAGTCTGTGACTACCTCTCTCCGAAAACAAAAGATACGGAGACCAGAGACTGAATGGCCAGGGAGGTGGGTGGAAATTTGGAGACTGAGTCCATCAAAGAAAATCTGCAGGGACCTGATAAGAAGGGAGATGAAGGGGCTGTGGCTCAGTGGTAGAGCGCTTGCCTAGCATGTGTGAGGCACTGGGTTCGAGCCTCAGCACCACATAAAAATTAACAAATAAAATAAAGGCATTCTGGGGGCTGAGGATGTGGCTCAAGCGGTAGCACGCTCTCCTGGCATGCATGCAGCCCAGGTTCGATCCTCAGCACCACATACAAACAAAGATGTTGTGTCCGCCAAAAACTGAAAAATAAATATTAAAAAAATAAATAAAAAAATAAAGGCATTCTGCCCATCTACACCTACAAAAAAATTAAACAATAAATAAAATTTTTTAAAAAGGGAGATCAAGGCCACTCTGTGGGAGAAGGGAGGAACTAAAAGACTCAGGCCCCTGCTCTCGCACTTGTCCTCCTGCAGCAGGCCCTGGAGCACCTGGACCACCAGCTGAGCGAGAAGGTGAAGCAGGTAAATGCCCTGAGACACCAGGTAGTGTTGAGGCAGAAGCGACTGGAGGAGCTCCAGCTGCAGCACAGCCTTCGCCAGCTAGAGATGACCGAGGCACAAAACTGCAACACGGAGGAGGCCAAGGTAGGGCCTCCTCGCATAAGGAGGCACAAGGCGAGGCCTGGGGAGCTGGGGCCGGGGGAGGAATGGAGGAGGGAGGGGACTCAGCCAGCCCTGCTGCCCACTAGACCTTGAGGAACCTGGAGAACCGCCTGGAGAAGGCCCGGATGAAGGCGGAAGAGGCAGAACACATTACCAATGTGTACCTGCAGCTCAAGGCCTATCTCCAGGTAGGGACTAGGCCTGCTTGGGGGGAGGAGGGCAGTCTGCCCGGAACCACAGCCACAGACCTGTCCCACTCCCATGCCCAGGAGGAGAGCCTCAACTTGGACAACCGTCTGGACTCCATGGAGGCTGAGGTGGTGAGAACCAAACAGGAGGTGGAGGAACTGCACGTGGTGAATCAAGAGGCCCTCAACGCACGGGACATTGCCAAGGTGCCAGCCCACCTGTCAAGGTCTCCTCCCCAGAATCTGAACCCAGCGTCGCCCGAGCCGCTCTTGTCTGTCCACCACACCCTGCCGACCTGTCCCGGCAGTGTCTACCGGGGCCTGTGCGCTCTGCCTCCAGCCGACATGGGTACCAGTTGCCCCTCTGCTCGCCCTCCAGAACCAGCTGCAGTATCTGGAGGAGACCGTGATTCGAGAACGCAAGAGCCGAGAGCGCTTCATAAGTGATTGCAAGAAGCGTGCTGAGGAGAAGAAACTGCAGAACGAGCGCATGGAGCGCAAGGTGGGCGCACCCAGGGGTGCAGGGCTTCGTGACCAGCCCAAACCCAACACGACCTGGCCTTGTCCCTTCCCAGTCATGTCCCCATTAGCCCTCACCCTGGACCCTTTCCTACTCTAACCCCCCTCCCCCCCACGCCCTCCCTGACTCCACCTCCACTTGATGGGAGGGCTCCTCCCACAGCCACCACATCCACCTCCTGCCCTCCTCTCTCTCCTTCCCTCGCACCTAAGTGCCCCATTTTGGCACTGCCAGAACCTCCCCTTACTCCTGGTCTCCACTCATCCTTCCCCCTGCTGACCAGGCCTCCCTGACCTAAACTGACCCTGCTGATAGCCCCCCCCTCTTGACTACTCCCCTTTGTGCTGGCTCTGAAGCCACCTCCTGACGAGTCCTGATCCCCGCCCAAGTGTTCTTACCTGGCTCCAAGTCTTTGCACGGCCCCCATTCCCCAGTTTGAACCCTGTCCCCTCCCAGCCTTGGCCCCAAACCTCTGTCCACCAACGGACCCTGGCTTTGACTCACTCCAAGAGCAGACTCAGCGGGAGCACATACTGCTGCAGTCGGACGACACCCTGCAGGACCACCTGCGCGCCAAGGACGAGGAGCTGCGACGGCGCTGGAACATGTACCAAATGGAGACGATTTTCGGCAAGGTCAAGGACGCCACTGGCGTGGCAGAAACGCACGTGAGTGCCGCGGTGGCCCTCTCCCTCCCCAGACGAACCCCAGCCGCGTCCCGGGGAGGGAGGGAGACCGTCACACTCCGCCTCCCCTCTCGTCTGCGCACGCACTTGCTCTCCTCTTGAGAGACACCCCTTTCCCCTCAGCTACCGGCCCACCCCACCGGAGAAACTGCTTTACACAAGACCCACAGGACTGCCTACATGCTTCCTCTCCTCCTGTCTTACTCCTGCGCTGACTTCTTTGGCCTGCCCCCTGTGTCCTGTCTCTCACATTTTACAGTTGTCCTCTTTGAAAAATTTCTTCTTATTCTTCCTTTTTTTAATACCAGGAATTGAACCCAGGGACACTTAATCACTGAGCCACATCCCCAACCCTTTAAAAATATATTTTATTTAGAGACAGGATCTTGCTAAGTTGCTGAAGCTGGATTTTTCTTTTAATGTTTTGTTTTAGTTGCAAACGGACACAATATCTTTATTTTTATTTATTTATTTTTATCGAATCCAGGGCCTCACACATGTGAGGCAAGGGCTTTACCCCTGAGTTACAATCCCAGCTCCCTGAGGCTGGCTTTGAACTCTCAATCCTTCTGCCTCAGCCTCCCAAACCACTGGGATTATAGGCTTGTGCCACAGCGCCTGACTTGAAAAAATTTCAAGGCTCCTGTGTCCCCTTAAAGTGCCGGGTTTCCACTGAGGAACACTAGTCTGTACCCTTTGGGTTCTCTGTGACCTTGCCGCTGCTCCCAAGGAGTTGATCCCCAGGAGGCCCTGAATTCCCAAATATGGGATCATCTGGGGCACCAAGGCAAACCCCTTTTCAGAAGTGTGTCCGGTGAGCGGATGGCTCCCCAGAGCCGGTGTTACTAGTGAGAATGGACGAGATTCCCTGCAGAAGTTGCTGGCACGTTAATTTTGGAAAGCAGCCATGCTCACGGCTGCTCTGTCCCCCACTCCATATCGATTTTGGCCAGCTCAAATGTAGACAGGGGCGCAAGAAAGAGGATTTGTCCAGGATTTTGTACACTCTTGAGGCAACCCCGAGTCCGACCCCCACTGCCCGCATACATCAGTTTGCCGAAGCCACCAGCCTAGACCACTTATCCCGTGTGGCGGGGAGGAAGGGGAGGAAGGAGAGGAGACGGAGCAGGCCGGTGCCTCCCTAGGCTCTGACTGGGCCTGGGTGGTCCGCAGTCCGTGGTGCGGCGGTTTGTGGCCCAGGGCGACACCTTCGCTCAGTTGGAGGCTCTTAAGAGTGAGAACCAACAGACGCTGACGAGGCTAAAGGAAGAGAAGCGGCGGTTACAGAGGGAGCTCGAAGACCTCAAGTACTCTGGGGAGGCCATGATGGTGAGGTGAGGCCAGGGTGCTCAAGGGAGGCCGGAGGGAGGCCGGAGGGAGGGCGGGGTCGGCAGTGCTCGGTGGTGACTTCTCCCCTCCCTGCAGCCAGCAGAAGATGCAAACTGAGATGCAGGAGAACCTCAAGACCGAGGGGCAGCGACATGCTGACGCACAGGATCAGCTGGAGCGCACCTTGAGGGCCATGCAGACGACTAAGGAAAACCTTGAGCACCTGGCGAGCAAGCTCAATCACATCAAAGTGGTAGGCCCCGCCCTCGAACGGCTCCCGCCCACAGCCTCTTAGGACTTTAGAGGTTCAGTCAAGCTTGGGGGTACCGCCGCCTAGGCCCAGGGAACCCAGGATGTCAAAAGCTCCGCCTACAGGAAGGCCCCTCCCCACTCACCGGAGTCCCCGCCCCATATCCCTGGTAAAGCCCTCTCTACCCCCAGGAGGCCTAGGATTTTAGATCCTTGACCTGCCTCGACTCCGCTCCCCATGGGAAAGGCCTACTCTTCCTCCACCCAAAACCTCAGAGACCCTCCTCCAATCCTGGAGCGGCCGGAGACAGGAGAAGCCCCACCCTGTCGTTGCACAAGTCCATTTTTTCAGAAGGTCACTACTGCCTTCCTCGCGTTCCTACCCTTCACCAAGAGGCCTCCCGGCTCCCTTTTTATGCCCCTGGAGTTCAGAGGCCCGCCCTCAAGGCGTGGCCTTTGATTTCGGAGTCCGGACGCCTGGAGTAAGCACCAGCCCAGTGGGTGGCTCCTCCCCTCTGCAGCCGAGTCCCTGAGGGAAAACCCCAGCTTGGTGGCCCAGACCCCAGAGGCCCAGCCTCTTGCAACTGACCTGGCTCTCGCTGGCCACAGGAGAACGGCCGATTTGCGGGAAAGGAATTAGATCCCAACGCTGGGGACTATCTGCAGAACCTGCTGGGCCTCGTGGAGGAAAAGTTGCTGAAACTGCAGGCACAGCTCGAGAGCCACGATGTGCCGGAGATGCTGCGTCACATCGCCGACCGCGAGGTGCCCCTGAAGCTACGGGGCAGGACCCAGGAGACCCTGGGGCTGAGGGGGCGGGGCAGCCTTTAGGAGGCCAAGTTGGAGAAGCTCAGGAGCTGGAAAGGGGTCTTAGGGACAACGTGTGGAGTGAGCCTTTTACAAAAGGGAGAGGAGCCAAGAGAGCTGCAGTGGGTCTCGCGAGGCCAGAGGGCGCGACTGGGGGATTCAGGGTGGACAACCAGAGACTTAGTGGCAGGACCCCAAAGACCCGCGGTGGGCCTGAGTGACAAGTGGGTGCAGCTGGGCATCGGAGTGTCTGGTGAGAAAGAAGGACGCAGCGGGGCTGGAGGAAAACTAAGTAGGAGTGGGTAGTGGTCTCTGGAATCGGCATGGAGGAGGGGAGAGGAACTTCCCTGGGGCCCCAGCCTCGCCCTCACCTCCCTCTCTACCCCCTCCACTTAGTTCTATGCCACCTTAGAAGGAAAGCTGCCCCAGTACAACACTCGCATCCCCCTGCACCTTGCCAGTTCCAAGGACAAGTTCTTCGGTCAGTGCTGGCTGGAAAAGGGGGTGGGGTTTGGAGCGGCAAGAGGTGGTCTGAGCATGGGCTCTGGTCCAAGGTGGAGGTGGGGAGGGTGGTGATGGCCGGGGAGGAATGTCTGATTTGAGCTTGGGGAGCTGCATCGCCACATCGCCCGTGCCCTCGCAGACGAAGAGGAGAGTGAGGAAGAGGACAGCGTAGTGGTGAGCCGCGCTTCTCTCAAGATCCGCTCCCAGAAATTAATCGAAACCCGCAGCAAGAAGCGCAGCCGCTCGCGGAGGTCCTAGATTCGCATCTTGCCCATCTGGAGCCTCCATTCCCCTTCAGAGCCCCCGACTCCTCTGGGTCCAGTCACGGGTCCATGGGGCCCCTTCAAGGGCTGGATGAGGCCCGGACGGGGAGCTTAGCAGGCCAGTGGCAGCCCGGAGGAGAGGGGGCCGGACTAGATGTTCCCACAGTAAATCTCCCGAGGCGGGTCAGCGCTGGCCTCAGAATCGCGCAATAAAGGTCACCGACCAGCCTCCTGGGTATTCACCTCTTCTTGACCCCCCTGCACGACTGAAAAGACAACGTCCCATAAAACCCAGGCCGCAGACAGCCCCTTCCAACCTGGGGCGTGATGACTCCTGTCAGCTGATGCATAAAGTCACGAGGGATACCCTCACACCTGGGGCGGAGCAGCCCTGCCACTTGAGGACAGAGGACTCGGCCTGGGGACACATACCTGTCCTCCCTTAGCTATACACAACTTCAGCTCTCCACACCTGAGGATAGAGAAGGAAGCCCTCCCTCGGGGACAGACGTGCCCTCTCCTGAGGCTGGTTGATAGACGCCCACTGGTAGAACCGGGGTCTCTCCGAGGTGGGCCTGGGCCTTGCGGTCAGGCGGGGGGCCACCAGAGTCCCGGGTCAGCCCGCCCAAGAGAGACCGGCCGCCCCGCCCCGCCCGCCCCGCCTGCCCCAGAGCTCAGCCACTGCCCGCCGGCCCTTCCGCCTCACTCAGCGGCGCCGCAGAGCAGGACAGGTGTGGGCCATGGAGCGGTCGGCGGGCAAGGAGCTCGCCCTGGTAAGGGGGTTGGGGATCTCGGAACCTCACAACCCGGTGACCCGCCCCCGGTCCAAAAACTTAAGGTTCCCATCCCTAGGACTCAAATCGGATCTGCCTCCGTCCCCACTTCGGGACTCAGGGCTCTTGGCCCAGTGAAGTGGCTGGTTCATGGGCGGGGGTCTTTGGGTGCATCTGAAGGAGGCATCAGAAACATCCATGAGACGGAACCCTAGGACTCCACAAATGCCACCCCACCCCTTCAGAACCTGGGAGGAGGGTACCCAGGGCGGGAGGGCACCACCTGGGACCTGCCCTGCCGAGTCTTGTAGACCCCCGCGGGAAGCGGGAACCCCCAGGAAGGCCCGGCTTGAGTTCCAACGGCTAACGTGAGCCGCGGCCCCGGGACTGTCCTGAGCCCGCCTCCCGTCCAGGCGCCGTTGCAGGACTGGGGTGAGGAGACCGAGGACGGCGCGGTGTACAGTGTCGCCCTGCGCAGGCAGCGCAGTCAGCGCCGGAGCCCGGGGGAGGGTCCTGGGGGCAGCCAGGTGAGGAAGGGGCTGGGGGTGGGGGAAGAGGCGACCCGGTGAGGGCGGGTTGAACGGCGAGACCAGGGAGTGACCGGGTGAGGGAGAAGCTGGAGAGCAAAGCTTGGGCCGCCAGGAGCGGTGGGGCTCGAAGGAAGGGCGGAGCTTAAAAGTGACCAGGTGAGGGTAGAAGGGTACCTGGGGGCGACTTGGTGAGTGGGGGTAGATCCAGGAAATGGTGAGGCCGGGCGATGGCGCGTTCCTGAGCGGGACCTGGGGTAACCAGGTAAGGGCAGAACTGGACAGACGGCTCTGGGGAAGTCGGTTTAGTGGGTCAGAGCAGGAAAGAGCGGTGAAGTTTGGAAGCAGCCAGGTGAGGGTAGGTGGGGCCCCAGCACAGCCGGTGGAGCGTGACTGGAGGGCCACAGAAGCCCAGGGTTGGCAAAGTGAGGGACCGAGGTCAGAGCTCAGGAGGACAAAGATGCCTGGAACCGGTTGCTGGAGAGTCCTTTGTGGACAAAGCAAAATAATAAATCAGAAATATTCAGATTCAGAGGAATAGATAAGATCAGATGGAATGGCTAGTGATGGCCGTGAATGAAAAGGGGCATGGGGGCTCCTGGTCTCTCACTGCCGCCCCTCCCTGGCCCCCTTCCCTGTCCCCCCCCTGCAGACCCCCACTCCCGCTGCCAATACCTTCCTCCACTACCGCACCAGCAAGGTGCGGGCGCTGAGGGCCGCTCGGCTGGAGAGGCTGGTGAGCGAGCTGGTGTCAGGAGACCGCGAGCAGGACCCGGGCTTTGTGCCTGCTTTCCTGGCCACCCACAGGGCCTTTGTACCCACTGCCCGAGTGTTGGAATACCTGTTACCACCGCCGCCGCCCCCACCCCCACCTTCCAGGTCAGTGGCCCTCAGAAACCTGCAGGTTCTCATCCCCAGATTCCCACCTGGGTTCCTTCCCCCACCTCCCCAGGTTTGGAACCAGGAAACACTCCCCACCCCAGAGCCCTCCTTCTAAGCACCCTCTGGCGCCCCCCTTTCATCTGATGAGGGCTTCTTCCCAGGGTAGAGAACAAGAAGACGGAAGGACAAGATCTGAGCTTCAATAAGAACTTGAGGTTGGCCGCCCTGAAAGGTGGGGGATGAGTGGGGTGGAGGGAGGAAAGTATTTCCAAGGTCAATGGTCAGTCTTGAGGTCTGAGGGCTGGAGGCTTGCTAACCTGAAAGGTTGGGAGCTCCCAAGCTCTGGGCCCAGCTCTGAGCCTGCTCCTCTGTCCAGGGCTGTGGTATCTGTGCTGGGCTCCTGGCTACGGGACCACCCTCAGGATTTCTGTGACCCTCCTACCCACCGAGACCTGGGCAGTGTCCGACTTTTTCTGGGCTGGGCAGCCCCAGGGAGTGCTGAGGCCCAGGAAGCAGAGAAGCTTCTGGAGGATTTCTCAGAGGAGCCTGAGGGAAAGCAACAAGAAGAGGAGCTACTGGTGACTTGGGCAGGTGAGGGGTTCTGGGTGCCGGTTGTGCACTGAGAAGGCAGTCCCACGCTGTCTGTCCTTCCAACTTCCTCCCCACTCTCAGAATCACAGATCTTGGGCAAGGTTTCTAAACCATCTTGAGACTCAGTTCTCCCCTCTGTAAAATGAAGATCTTAACTCTTTATCAAAGAATTAGTATTTGCCTTTGCTCCCCCTCTATCCAAAGGTACTCTGCCCTTGGGCTAGGGACCTGGGTTCGAATCCCAGTTTTGTTATTTGCTGACTGTGTGATCATGAATAAATCACTTCACCTCTCTGAACTGAAAAGGGGGGGGGGAGCAGTGATAACAGTGCTTATTTCATTAGGCTCTTTATTCATTCATTAAATATTCAGCCACTGGTTCTGGCCATGTAACCATGGACTAGGGCTCCCAATTCCTCAGGAAAGTTATTCAGTAAGCAAGAAAACAAACAATGGGGACTTGGCCAATACTATTATTTTACTGATCCTTCATTATTAGATATCTACCACTTATAATAAAATGTCAGCCATTAGTCATATTGATATTATATTCTAGACCAGGTGCCAGCAAGCTGTCTGGTCCTTTATAGGAAAAAAGTTGTTGACCACTGATATAGAACATTTTTGGAGTAGGGGAAAATATCTATAAACCTCACTCAGGTCTTTGTTGACATGTCACCTCCTCACTCACAGTGGCTCTCTTTGGCCCTCTCCTAACAGACAACCCCTCCCAACTTGTGTGTCCACTTAGTCTTTCTTATTTTTCTGTACAACACTCTTGACATCCCTCCCTGGATTCTAGCTTTTGTTCATTTCTGTGGCCTGTGAGCACAGGAGAGGAGGATCATATTAGTCTTGTCCTGACTCTGCCCCCAGGAGCAGGAATCACATGGATTAGTTGACAGAATAATTGTATCCTGCTTATAGAGTATCAGCTTTCACCCATCTGTGTTTGATCTGATCCTTATAACGAAAGCTTCTATCTCCTTAATCCTTATCCTTTAATCCCAAGATTAAAGTGGCCACATTCCTCTCTGCTTTCCAAAGTGGCAGCCACTTTCTCTATCCCTGGCGACAAAGTCTGAGTTGTTAATATATTTGCACCCCGCGCCTTCCCTCCCTTGCCTTCAAGGTTTAATCAGTGAATTTCAAATCTTTAGAATCACATAGTCCAATACGGTAGTTACTAGCCTTTGTGGCTATTTAAGTTAATCAAAATAAAATTTGTTAATTTTTTAAAATAAAAATTCACTTTTGCCATTATGCTGGTCACATTTCCAAAGATTGGTAACCACACTGAAGTGTTCAGGTAGAGCACATGTTGACCATGGCAGAAAATTCTATCTGCTGTAGTGGGACATGGTGCGTGACACCTGCAATCCCAGCTACTGGAGAGGCGGAGACAGGAGGATCCCAAATTTGAGGCCAGCCTCAGCAATTTAGTGAGAATTCATCTCAAAAGAAAAATTTTAAAAAGGGCCTGGGGTGTAGCTGAGTGGTGGAACACTTGCCTAACATGGGGGAAAATCCTGTGTTCTATCTCCATTACTGCAAGTAAACACAAAATCAACATTTTTAAAAAGCAGGTCTGTAAGCTCTTGCGGTCAGAGGAGAAAAATGAACATTTATTGAATACCTACCATGTGCTAGTGTCTGAAACACACTTTTTTTGTAATTATTTTTAGTTGTAGATGAACATAATACCTTTATTTTATTTATTTATTTTTATGCGGTACTGAGGATTGAATCCAGGGCCTCACATGTGCTAGGCAAGTGCTCTACCACTGAGCTGTAACCCCAGCCCTAACATCTTTATTTTGAGTTTACTTTTTCCTATGGAAAACTTCAGACATATACAAAAGTAGAGACTAGTATAGAAAACATTTAGTCACTTATTACCTAACTTCAACAATTTTCAATTAGACCAAAAAAAAAAAAAAGGATGTCTCAGACTTATGTCACCCCACACTTAATTACCTTGGGTATGCACTTGTAACTGATGAGGGCTTTTAAGACATAACCTTCATGCCCATAAACATTTCAGGAAATTCAGAAATACTTACCATATTTTAAGTCCATATTCAGATAACCTCATTGTTCCTAAATTATCAGTTTTACAACGTTTCTTCAAATTGGAATGCAAAGAAATTCCACTCAGGAATTTGACTGTTTCTTTCCCAGGCCTCCACTATTCTATAACAGTTCTCCCCTTCCCTTGCCTTTTCTTGGATGCTCTGTGTGTGTGTGTAGGGGGTTGTCCTAAGGTGTGTCTCACATTCTTCTCAGTTCACCTGCCGGTTTCCCATAGTGCCATGCAGGTGTTCCTCTGTTCCCCCTCATTGCTCAGAAATCTAAACATTAGATTAGGTTTAGGTGCAATTTTTCCCCCAACTCTCACAAAAATTAATATTTTGTAATGCTACATGTCTAATTTGAAATGAAAGAGATAATTAAG